TGATATATTTGTTGTTGTTTTTTTTCTTTCAACGGGTTTCTTCTGCAACCAAACACCTAACCCAATTGCCCAACCGTCCAACCATGCAACCACCAGAGTAGTGATTAATCGTACCACCCACTCTAATTTCATTGTTGATATATTCGTTGTTGTTTTTTTTCATGGCGGTCTTTGCAGACCGACAAGCATCTGGTGAGAGGAATCCGATGGTGGACAAACATGCTGAAGGAGGCATTGACGGATTATCACAGCGCGATTTGCAGAACGGGCTATATGATGATAGATTCAATGATCCTGTGATTCGATCTGAACTGGAGGAGGAGTACAGTGAAAAATGTGCCGAATGGTACGAATACAATGTAGCAATTTTGCTTCACGACAAAAAACAACTATCTAATGAAGCTCGGCCTGTAGTTCGGTATGATGTTCCAGGTAAGGTTCCGAGTGATTATGCGGTGAGAAGGGCGTGTGGTCRGAACCTCACGGAWAATGAAGGCCTTCGATGGACCCAGGAGGAGTTGTTGCAAATGTTGAAGAAGAAGGAGGAGGAAGTGAAGATGTTGAGGAATGCCTTTTACCGTGTGGAGTTGAATGCAAAGGCGGTGCTTGAAAGTTTCCTTGCAGGGAAACGAAGTGAACATGTGATAGATTCCTTCGTGTCCGGCTCTTTGGACGTGAAGACGGAGGTGCAAAGTAGTGAAGATATGAAAAGAGAATTTCAAACTCTGATTCAATCATCGGTCAAAAATGATTTGCTGAATCAGCTGTCGGAACTTAGTAATAGAGTTGACACACACCTGTTGCAAGAGTGTCAGAGTTTACGTCGGCGACTGGAAGAAGCAGAGATTGCAATAAGAAAAATGTTGGTGGCTGGTGCATTGCCGCCCATTGATCCTTCTTTTGCCTCCAACCTATTCGGAATTTCATCGACTGCGACTTTGGAAGGTCTTCCAAAATCGTCTCTGATTGCAATGTTACGGTCACTGCAAAGTCTTGGTTCGGAATTGGCACACAGGAATGCGCTTTTAGAGGTGCAAAACGTGATGAAGTTTCAAGTCAGTGATGGTCAATTGAATAGTACGGTTTTGCTGCTTGGAGATTTATACAAGCAGACATACGATGCATTGATGGATTCAATGTCCAGGGACAATTTTCCCGAGCTAATGGGCGATGGATTGGGGAATGGGATGCTGCGATGTTACAAAGAGCAGTTATACATGATGAGAGTTTTGTTGACCAATGTCATTTGTACGTACTCGCGAATGAGATCTATAAAGGGTATGGAGAATGTGAAACGAGAATTGAATGCTTTGGCAAACATTAATAAGCAACATGAGACGAGATTGCATGAGTTGGTGTTTGCGTTAGTCGAAGTGCTAAGGCATCGATGTCCCCGTTGTGGTCGTATGAGTCATTATGCAAGAGGGGACTACAAAAAGGTGAACGATTTGATGGTTGTTCGACCTGGCTCTGATGACAACACAAATATTTATGCTTTAGGAAACGTTGTTGTTGATGAGCATCAACAGTTAGCAATGGAAGGAAGGAGAAGGCAACTTCGTGAGGATAATGATGTACACGAGTTGTGAGTAGAGCAGAATAGAGAATAAAGAGATGGACTGAAATAGTATTGGAGAACTTTAGTTCTTCAGTTCTTAGTTCCCTTTCTTTCTCTATTTTTACATCTCTTTCTCACTTTCCCTCCTCTTTCTCTCTTTCTCTCTCTGCTTCTCTGTATATGTATGCATCTTTGTTTTCTTCAGTTCTTTGGGTAGGATAACTATAAGAATGTTTTGCTTCAAATAACATTGATAATGATTTTTTAAAAGTTTTGTAAAAAAAACGTTTAAATTTGATTCTTTTTGTCGGTTGCTCTTCCATTGAATTCGACTCTTTATGTTTATTTTTCCATCTCTTTGCCCTTTTTTTTTTATCTCTCTCTTTTGAATTCGACTCTTTAAATTTGGATCATTCTTTTATGTTTTTGTTTTGATTTTAAAGTTTTTTCTTTTCCCGTTCTGACATTATCTTTCCCAAACATGATAGACATTATGAGAAACTATTATTACTATATTAAAACCGAATCTAAACTTTTGTTGTTAACGTTGTTGAAATTTTGTTTCTTTATGTTATATGGTTTTCAGTATGTGCTCTTATATTCTTCCACTTATTGGTAAAAAAAAATAAAAGAACCGACAGGTGAGTATACTTCAAGAAATATTGAGCTGAAAAAAAAAAAAAGTTTTCAAATAATATCTGA